GCGTCCCAGCCCAGCACGTCCATGGAAGCAGTGGTCCTGGTCCTGGGGGGCTTTGGAACCATCACCAACTTCTGCAATAAGGCAGAGAGATGTTAATCAACCGAACAGGTTTTTTTAAACAACGTTTTCACACTGCAAACAGGACATCTGGATTTTTCTGCCACGGGCAGAGTGTTTATGTAGTACCTAACCCCCTCCATTTCTGCATCAAAGGAAAAACTCCTCCTTCAGCATCTCTCCCACAGCTGCGGGCTGAGTGTCCGGCTCAGGAGCTGGTCCCGGGCTGGGCGAGGGGGGAGGGAAGGTGGAGAGCTCATCACATTCACTGAAAAACCGGTGGCTGCCCTGTGGTGCTACTGGAAACTCGCACGGGTGGAGAAATCCCTCCTCTCCCCCCAGTCCCGTGTTTTCCCCGGCCCTGCTGGGAATCCATCTGGGATTCCCGTTAGGGAGCTGCTGGCAGGAGGGGAGGCGACCCAGCGCCAGCTCCCCAGCAGCTTTTTCTGGAGCCGTTTTTTGGTGCTGGGGCCAGTTTCACTTTCGTGTTCAGCTCGGCAGCTGCTGGGAGGGGGTTGTTTTTGCCGGAAGCAGTTTCAGCTGCTCTTCATCACAAGAGGAGCAAAAATTACCTCCTCGGGGCATTCGGGGCGCTGATGCTCAGCGTAACACGAAGCAATGGCAGCTCTTCATGTCAGGGACAGGCTCCTCGCTGCCTTCGCTCAGAACAGCCTTTCCTGGGGGACGCAGGATTTTTTTATTCCCATGAAGCGACGAGGGTGCAGCAGCTGTCACACCCTCGCGGGATTTTCGTTGTTTTCGGGCGCAGTTCCCCGCAGCCCCTGTGCCCTTGCTCTCCAGCAGCCCCAAGCATGGTTCAATCGCTCACAAACGGATTTCTGGCCGGGCGGGAGCTCCGCGGAGCGCGTGGTGCCCGCGAAACCGCAGCTGCTGCCACGTGATGGGCGACATTTCCCCTTCCCGGTCGGGCAGCAGCAAGGTCGCAGCCGAGCCTCCAGCTCCTCGTGTTGGAGGGACGGTGCCAGGGGTGGGACAGGGGCCAGGTCCCCGCTGCGGGACTCGCCGGGTGGCTGCCAGAGGTGGGTTAAGCCGGGTGGGGGCGAGGGGATGGGGGTTTGAGCTGTGCCCTGCGCCCCCTCCTCCCACAAAGGTGCTCAGCGGCGCGTGCTCGTGCGGTGGAACACGTGGTTCTCCCGGGGCTGCTAACCCGCAGAATATTTTCTTCTTGCATTTCAGAACAGAGGCTTCTCAAAGAAGAGTCACACGTTCCTGCCTAAAATATTTAGAAAAATGTCAACTCAATCAGCAAAAGAGAGACCGGAAAGCTTGCAGTTCCCTTACCTTGACGACGAAGATACCATCTCCACCATCAAAGAATCTAAAACCTTTTTCATTTTGCGAGGCCTGCCCGGCAGCGGGAAGTCCACGCTCGCCCAGGCCATCCAGGAGAGGTATAAGGACGCCTGCAAGGTCGTCTCTGTCGACAGCTACAAAATCACCCCTGTAGTAAGAAGCACCGTTCCTGAAGAATACTCCAAGGTGGACGAGGATCTAGTTGACTATTGCAAACGAGATATCAGCGTTATCGTTTTGGATGACACTCACCACGAGCGGGAGCGACTGGACCAGCTCTTTGACATTGCTGACAAATACCGGTACAAAGTCATCTTTGCCGAGCCCAAAACCCCCTGGAGGATGGACTGTTTGCAGCTGAAGGAGAAGAATCAATGGAAACTGTCGGTGGAGGAGCTGAAGAAGATGAAGCCGAGCTTGGAGAAGGAATTCCTGCCCATGTATTTTGGGTGGTTTTTGAGCAAAAGAAGTTCAGAGATCCTGAGGAAGGTTGGCCAAGCCTTCCTCGATGAGCTTGGGAGTCTGAAAGCCTTCAAAAAGGAGAGTAAATACTGTACGTAAGGCAGCGTCTTACCGAGCTCTCCCTCCGTGGATGAAATGTTAACGCAAAGGGAACACCTTTGGCCAGCTTCCCAAGGGGATTCCCCGTTAAGTTAGCAACGAGAAAACTGTTTAAAGACACGATTGGTTTCCCATAGTTGACAACGTTGCTGTTGATGGAACTGTTTTTCCTAGGAAACCTCTTTGTCTCTGACGCTGGAGGGAGCTGGGCTGGGCTGGCTGCGCGTCCCCTGGTCCTGTGCACCCCGACGGGCTGCGCAGAGCAAACGAGAGAGAAAAGGGGAAAACTGGGTGATCTTGTCTCTTAGGGGATTCTTACCTCCTGGGGGTTAAGATGAGCCACAGCGATGGGCAGAAGCTTCTGGTTCCTGGTGCCACCCAGTGTTGGCGCAGGTGGAAGGAGGGGTTTGATTCACCCACCTGCTCCTTCCAGCACTGAGAAACGTGAAACACGGAGGAGGGGGCGGTGAGGAAAGCTGACGGGACGTAGGCTGGTGGGGTGACGGCAGGGGGATCATTTCCTGGCTGTAATGCTGTTCACCTGTATTTGCAGTTGCTTCAGCCATCGAAGATCCCAAAGTAAAAATCGATCTCACCGGCTACTTTGTGAAGAGGCCACCCGGGGTCTTGCACTGCACCACAAAATACACCGAGTTCGGAAAAGCAGCTGGAGCCGAGGAATACGCGCAGCAAGAGGTGAGTACCGGGGTGCAGCCCCCCACCGCCCCCGCCAGCAGGGGATCCCCCAGCCCCTCGGGGGGGCCGGGGACGCGGCTTTGCTTTGAGCTGAGAGGCCAAACGTAGGGACCACAAGTACGTCCGCGGGGGCTGTGGGATAGAAAAGCTGCAACGGGGAGAGACGGCGGCTGGTTCCCGTAGTGCCTAAACCAAACACCCCGTCCTCATCCCCACTGACCGCAGGCGTCAGCTCCAGGAGCTCGGTTTGAACGATGAATTGAGGTTTTGACGCTTCCAGCTAAATTATTCCAAAACAGATGAGCCCAAGTTAAATTTTAGAATTTGTAAAAAGATGCAACCAGCTCCGAATTCATGGAGCAGGGACCTCAGACTGTGTTCCTCCTGTTGTACGTGGTGTTTCAAATATGTCAAAGCGAGAGCTGCCGCCATCAGCCAGGACCCCACCTGCTGCCGGGGGTTAACGCTGGGCTCTGGGCTTGTCTCCCTCCTCTCCCAGGCTGTGAAGGCTTCCTACGGCAAAGGCTTCACCTTGGCCATCTCCGCTCTGTTCATCACGACAAAGACTGTCGGCGCTCGGGTGGAGCTGAGCGAGCAGCAGCTGCTGCTGTGGCCCGGCGACGTGGATAAGATCCTGCCCACCGACAGCCTCCCGAAAGGCAGCCGCGCTCACATCACCCTGGGCTGTGCCAACGGCGTCGAGGCGGTCCAGACCGGGCTCGATCTGCTGGAGTTCGTGAAGCTGGAAAAGGCGGGGAACAAGGGGGAGGAAGTGGGGGAAACGGGTGGAGGGAAACTGCTGTACTTTGATAACGGTATGTGGATGCTCCGCCTTGCTAAAAAGATGGATGTGAAGGCAATATTCTCAGGTTACTATGGGAAAGGAAAACTCGTGCCAACGCAGAGCACCAACAAGCGGGGCTCTGCTTTCAGCTCCTGCACCATCATCTAGGAGCGGGGGAGCTGGGTGGTTTGTTTTTAAAGGCAAGTAACTCCTGTAACCTTTAAAAGTGTAAAGAGAAATAATTCTACCTTTACTAAAGCCCTTTGCCAGCCCCAGCGCTGGGGTTTGTACCACATTGGCCTCGAAGGAGGAAGGAAAGAAGCAGCTCCTGGGCAGCAAACCGCCGCCAGCACCGGGGTGCCGCTGAGGGTGCTTCAACAGCAGTTTGGGAGAAAGCTGGCCCTGGTGTTCTGCTTGTTTTCTTCCTTGGAGGAAGATCACCTACGTTGTTTTTATAAGTTCCCTCTGAACCACACTCGCTCGATCTCTACGCCCAGCCTGGTGGAACTGGTGTGAGCGAGCTGTCGTCTCCTTCCCCTTCTCCCCACCCCAGCGCCTGACCCCAGTTGTTTGGCAGCTGAGTTATGGGTAAAACCAGTGAGCCCCAGTTGGGGATTCCTGTCCCTGTGGCAGTTACAGGGAGTTTATCCCATCCTGGGTCAGAGGGGGTCCTGCTGCCCCCTGGCCGGGCTCTGCCTCAGTCACGGTGGCTGCTCACAGGCGCAGGGTCCCTGTGCTGCTGGTGAGGGGACGGGGGGAAGCACGGTGCCAGATGATGTCTTAAAGATAAGCCACCATGGACTTAAAAAAAAAAAAAAAAAATCACAGAAAGGGAACCAGTGAAATCCCAGGAGAGGCCTCCAGGTCCCGCAGGACAGCTCCAGTCGCTTCACTTCCCGTGTCCGCGGGGGCTGGACCGAGCACTGCCCCTGTCCTGGGGGGAACAATCCTGCCTGGCCAGGGACTGGAAGAGATGAACTAATGTCTTTTCCATCTTATTTTATAGAAACTAAAATCATGTCTGGAGTACAGAACCGTACTTCATGCAGGATTTTACTACTCTTCTCTAATGCACTGGAACGTTCAAGGTAGGACCCCGTGTCCGCGGGGGCTGGACCGAGCACTGCCCCTGTCCTGGGGGGAACAATCCTGCCTGGCCAGGGACTGGAAGAGATGAACTAATGTCTTTTCCATCTTATTTTATAGAAACTAAAATCATGTCTGGAGTACAGAACCGTACTTCATGCAGGATTTTACTACTCTTCTCTAATGCACTGGAACGTTCAAGGTAGGACGGCCGTAACCTCGTAATGTAGGAAGGGGAGGTACCGTAACCGCGTAACTTCAGTCTGCTCAAACCTAAACCCTGCCTGGAAAGGAGTTAACGATCAAGCACTTGTGTTATTAAGTCTGTTTTCTTGAAACTGATAGTTTTGCTCTTAGCCGGACCGTTCGCCGGGTGCTCGGTGGACACATGGTCTCTAACACAAACCTCAACTAACGGCCGGG